CAATATTTTTCTTCATTTCATGGAAACAACGGTGAAGAAATTGGCTTAAGGAATTTTTTTGGTTGACCTGATTTTATTTTATTTAGTTATTGGTTGGTGAATAAAGTTTTAGTCATATACTTGATGGTCACACTTTCACATTTTCAAGATTTGAGTTTTGGGGTTGTATTTGCTGTTATTAATTAGTATTACTATCATATTTCAATGAATTTTACTTCCACCTAATTATAATTTGTACACAAAGAATAACTTTACCATACATATCAAATAATGTCGTGGCATTTCAATTTTCTAACACGAAATCCACGAAAAAAAATTATACTAAAATCCAGAATATTTATATAAATAGGGAAAAATAGCTTATATATATAAATACATAAAGTTAGAAGAAAAAAATAATAATTAAATAGACCCAAGGACATAATCAATTTAGTGGGTAAGAAATTTACACGCATCAGTCACCACCACCACCACCACAACCACCTCCACAGCCACCGCCACAGCCACCACCACAACCACCGCCGCCACAACCACCGGAATCCCCGACGGCGCCGCCGTCTCCGCCTTCGGCGGCTCCTCCTCCTCCCAGAATAATCATCTCACCGTCACTTGCTCCACTTCTCTCGACTTCAATGGGGACGGTCGCCATTGGTGGTTGATTGGCGGTCCCGGGGACGGTCCTTGCCTCCGCATGCCGCCTTAGGCGGCGGATGTCCCGGCGGCGGCAGTATTCACCGAGACATATAATGAAGCAGAAATATGCGGCGATGGAGGCAATGACGAGAAGCACAACTGCGTATGTTTTCATCGTATTTGTGTAGTTAATGAAAAAAAAAAGTCTTTCAATTAGATATGTATGTTTGTTTGTGGTTTGTAATGTAAGAATTTTAATATTGCAACTTTGGGTTTTCTTTTTTTAATAATGTTTCTTCATTTCATGGAAACTACGGTGAAGAAATGGGCAAAGGAATATTTTTGGTTGACCCGATTTTGTTTCTATTTAATTATCAGTTGGTGAATCAATTTATGGTCATTTGCTTGATAGTCACGTACACGGGGATAATATTTGACTACACGAATAGATTAGTTGATTATATACAAAATTAGCTGATAGCGGAAATTTGACTGAATTAATTATAAGATTTGACTAATTGATAGATTAAATATTAATTAGTAAATTATGGAAAGTGTGGTAAATAATCAATTTTATGATACATAAAAATAACTAATTTTACAATTTATATTACAGAAAGCTTCTATGTTGAGCTTTTTGAATTCAAGAAGTAAATTCAAACTACTATTTACTAAACAATCTATATATATATAATAAGAATTAACATTTTTCAAAAATAATAAGCAAAAAAATAGGAAATATTAATTGCATTCCATTTTTGGTATGTTTTTTTAATTTTTTTTAATAAAAAATCAAGTAGCATTTAATGCTAGCATAAATCATGAGATTTGTTATATAGATGCATATTTAAATTTCAAACTTCAAACAAAACATGCCTAAATGTATTTTGAATTTTTTAGGGAAAAAATTTAACAAACACGTTAAAGATTTCATACAATACATATATTTATATACATTATCTTAACATATAGGTTAATTAGTTTCATATCTAAACAATATATATTTAAACAATATATGAACAAATATAATAATTTGTCGTACAATACAAACAAATATATAAACAATATATTTATATACAAATATAATAAACAATACAAACAAATATACAAACAATATATAAACAAATACAATAACTTGTCACGTGTATATTTCGTATAATACATATATTTATATATATTATCTTAACATATAAATTAATTAGTTTCATATCTAAACAATATATATTTTATGAACTTAAAGATTCATAACATTACTGACGTCATGTATATTTATAATATATTGTCACGTACATTTTACAAATATTGGTAACTTTTTTAAAATTATTTGGATAACTGGAGGTTGATTTGTAATTTGAATTTCAAATTCATTCAAACATTTAAAGGAAAATATCATAAGCAAATTTTTTTGATACATTTCATTTTATCTCAACTTACAGATAATTACATTCCTACCAAACATTAAATTGCTTATATCTTTTTAAATTAACTAGTATTCGAACTGTGCAAATGCACAAATATAAATAAAGTATTGTGGGCTATTTGTATGCATATAATGATTAATGATTTTTCTTGCACTATTTTGCAGGCAAAATTTACAATTAGAGGAATTGGAATATTTATTTTTTTAAATTGTGTTTTTTATATTGTATGTAATGTATATTTTGGTATTACTTTTTTTGTAAATTATTTATTATTTATTTAAAAATTTCTAATACGTTTTTTATTTTTCAAAATGAGTTAATTTAAATGTGACCACAACTTATAACATCTAATCACGTTAAATAATCAACACATTATATGGTCAGCTGTAAGTAAATCAAAAGTTTAAAATGATTTTTGTAATTTTGAAGTGATTAGTATGTTGATTATCTAATAATTAAATGAGAAGTTAAATAAATAAAAAGTAACGATTTTTGGAGGGAAAAAGTTATATTGCCACATAGGTATAATTTAATAGGTTTTATTTAATAGGTAAATAAAATTAACTATTATAAGTTATATTTATGTATATAATATAAAAATTATAAGTTATATAATTGTATTATATTTCAAACATATAGTATTATAAGTTATATTTATGTATATAATATTAAAATTATAAATTATATAATAGTATTATATTTTAAAATTTGATCATTGGTTAAAATAAATAGTACACACGATTTGATTATATACGAATCACTATATTGATTGCATAAAATGTAATAAATATATACTTTTCATAATTTTGAGTGATCATGATCAATTAATTAGCTGAAAAATATTACATTTATTATAACAATTGCTTATGTGATTTTAAGAAATTTTACTATGACATAAAAAAAAATTAAATTTTTAATAAACAACATCTTCATCATATAAAAAAATATTGATTTTAGTGTAAAATATAATTTTATGTAACTTTCATATATTATTTAGTATAGCATATAATTATTAATTTTAATATTAACTATTATAGTATTCAATAAAAAATATAATTATTAATCAATTAACATAAAATATAATGGTTTTTGTCTTAATTAACCCAAAAAAATGTAATGAAATATTTTTTTATTAATGAGATTGGGTGTATTAATGCCACATAAATAAAATTTATTAGGTTCTATTTATTAGGTTTTATTAATGATTTGCCACATAGGTAAAATTTATTAGGTTTTATTTATTAGGTAAAATTTATTGCTTAGCTAGCAATTATATATATATAGATTACACAATAAATAATATTAATATACATTACCTATTTATCATTATATAACAAATATATTACTTCTACAAGTGTTATAAATAATAATGACATTATATGATAATAGATTTTTTGATAGATTAATAATTGAGTATTATGATGAACCAAAATATGTAAAATTATTATTATTTTGTATTAAAAAATAAATATATATGTTAAAATATTATTTATAATAACATAAACGGGTCAGCATGCTAATATATTGTGAAAATAAAGTTTAAAAAAAAGTTCTAAAGTACGAAAACTCGTGCATCGCACGGGATTCTCACTAGTTAAATTGAAAACTGAAATCAAACTATTACTTACCAAACAATTAAGGTCAAACTACTTACCATTGACCACTACTTATCAAACAGTTAAATTAAAAATGATAACAATTAAACTTTGGCAAAAATTCAAATTGGTCCTATAATTTGGCCATTGTTCAAAAATTCACCCCGATATTGACCACTTTCAAACTGGGTCCAATAATTAACAGTTTAATCAATTTTGGTTCTTTTTTATCCGGATCCTGGATAAAAGCGTGACGTGGCATGACTTGACAATTTTTTATCTGACATGACATGATTGTGACTTGTGTGGCGGGATTAAAAAATATTAATTTAAAAATTCAATGATCCACGTGTAATATTCAATGATCCCGCGACGAATTCCAAGATGAGCTCCTATATGCCGCCGCCACCCTCCCCCTTGCCGCCGTCGGCCGCCTTCCTCCTCCGCCTGCCTCCGGGAAAACTCGCCGGATTTTAAAATTTTTTATATTTTCTTGTAGCTCTTTTCTTGGCTAACAACATATCTAAATTTCAAACAAAAATTCTGATGGTAAGGCTTCCAATTTCTGGCCAAAGCTTGTAGATCTACAAATTTTTTCCGGCCTTCTTTTGCAAATTACTGGTGACTCACTTTGACCCACGTGAGTCCGAAGGTACCTCCAAACTCCTCTCGCTGAGCCGCATCTAGTGACATCCACCGTTGCCAGAACAGATGAATTTTTTCCGGCAACGAATTTTCCGGTCATCTTCTCTGCGAGCCACCCCTTCAGTCCGGCGATCTCGAGGTCCAGAGCGCGGCCCGACCACGATATCCGGCCAGCGCGACGCGACCCAACCTTCTACGAGCGCGAGCTTTACTCTGCGACCGACCTCTGGCGAGCCTTTCTCCTCACAGTGGAAGTTCACATTTTTTTTATTTTATTCCTTTGGTTTTAATATTTTGTTTTTTGGTTTTAATTTTGCATTTTTTTTCCACCTATTTCCACATTGCATAATTGAATTATTAAATACAAATAAAGCTGCCACTTCACGCCATATCAAATAAAAAACTGCCACGTTATGCCACGTCACGTTTTATCCAAGGTTTGGATAAAAAAAAAAACCAAAATTGATTAAATTGTCAAATTATTGGACCCAGTTTGAAAGTGGTCCATATCGGGGTGGATTTTTGGACAGTGGCCAAATTATCGGACCAATTTTAAAATTTTGCCATTAAATTTTGATTCACCTCAAACCTCTAATTTAACTTCAAAATAGTTTACCAAAAGATTATATTCACGCAAATTTGCATGCATAGTCTTTATTTACAATTTTTGGGACGAAAATTTAAAAACTAGTCCCACAGGTATAGGGGGTGACAATTTTGGTCCTGACGGAATGCGGAAAATATGATTAGTCCCACAGCTTTTAAAAAATGATCAAAAGTAGGACTTTTTCGCTGGATTTACTATTTTCGGACCGGAACGTCACGTGGCGCACACGTGGCTTATCTTTTTACACGTTGGCATCCGATGTGTTCATATTTTTTTACAAGTTGTGGGACTAGTTTTGAATTTTCTGTATTCCGTCGGGACCAAAAATGTCACTCCCCTATATTTGTGGGACTAGTTTTGAATTTTTCCCTATGTATGTCGGATGCCAGCGTGTAAAAAAATAGACCACGTGTGCGCCATGTGTGCGCCACGTGGCGTTCCGGGCCGAAAATAGTAAATCCGACGAAAAAGTCTTACTTTTGATCATTTTTTCAAAGTTGTGGGACTATTTATATTTTCTGCATTCCAGGACCAAAATTGTCACCCCTATACTTGTGGGACTAATTTTGAATTTTACCCTAATTTTGGGTGTTGCACGCGAAAGGAAAAATGATGAAATCTCTAATTTATTTGCCCCCATAGTCTATGTTTATTTGCTGTCCATATATATTCAAAGTCTGAAAACATTGGTGAATTCTCTAAGTTTTACCTATTTGGTTTCTAAGCTTGAGCTACAACTCGTTGCATAATCCTTCAAATTTTGAATTGAAATTTTTAGATATGATCGTTTTTGATATGTGAGTTTTGGTGTTGTTCTTGGAGTGTGTGTGTGACTGGTAGCTACTGCTAATAATTTGGTGAAGGAAGAAAGACTTAATTAAAAATTATGATTTTAGTATTTTGTATTTTAGGATTCATAACTCAATCAATTTTACTTTGATCTAATAATTTGTGGACAGATCGAAGCATCTTTTCATGATTAATATATTGTTTCTTACCACGTATTTTTATCATATTAATTACATAATCAAACGATGCCGTGACATTTCAATTTTCTAAACACGAAATCCACGACGAAAAAATAATATTAAAATCATACAATTTATTGAAAGGAAAATATTCCATGGGGGTAAGAAAATATTACAACACGTCGACACCACCCATCATGCCAGAGAATCTTCGCAAAGTCAACTGTTGCACATATCATGATATCAATCACCACAACCACCGCCACAGCCACCGCCGCCGCCACAACCACCCCCACCACCACAACCACCCCCACCACCACAACCACCAGAGTCCCCGCCACTACTTATTACAGCCGCGGTGGCGACGGTGGCGGCGACAGCCGCGCCAGCTCCAAGAACAGCCATGCCACCGTCCTTCAACCCGCCACTCGCCGGCCTTTGACCTTTCTCCGGGTGAGACATCGGCTGAAGAGAATGGGCGGTAGCGGCAGGCCAGGCGGCCGGCGGCCGTGTCTTTTTCCGCCTGTTTTTGCAAAGACAGCACAAATATGATTTCATGTTTTTATTTAGGTGGTGTACTATTAAGTTGTTGCCAGAGGCCCACAATATATAGTATTTAGATGTTTGGTATTTATTTGTATATTTATATAAGAGTTAAGACTTTAGAAATTAGGATGTGTTTTTCAAGAAATTGGTGAAAAACTGAAATGGAAACTTCATGGCGAGACGACATTGACTTGGTACAACATTCCTTGACTTTGTCCTTTAATGTAAATTAAATTAAATTGGATATAAATCAAGTTGAAGTTGAATGATTGGAGGATTGAGTGAGATTTTTAGTTTGTATTTAAATAATATTTAAAATATAATTATTAAAGTTGATATGATGTAAAAGTAGAAAAAATGTTATTGAAAATATTAATTAATTAAAAATATGCTATCAGTAGATAAATTGTGAATTAAATTGATGTGATATGTGCCGATGATTTATTGATATTATTTAATAACATTGAGGAAAATTGAATTTAATTAAATTTAAATTGAATTTCGAGTTAAAAATAATGTGTAAAAAAAATATCAAATCGGTACTCAAAACTATTTACTACTAATAAATATGATAATAAATTCAAATTTAACTATATTTTAGTTCGTCCCTTTCATGTCGTTTTGCATCTATTATTTCACTTGTCTCTCTATAATCGTAAATGTTTTGTAATCGTGTCGTGTTCGTATTCGTTTTGCATCTATTATTTCACTTGTCTCTCTATAATCGTAAATGTTTTGTAATCGTGTCGTGTTCGTATTTCGTGTTGGGCGCACCTGTCACTTCTAATTTCAAGTTGAGAATATATATAAATTAATCAACATGTTAGTTTTATATAATATTAAAATTAACATTATACACGATAAATTGCATCATATAAGCTTATGACAAACTTTAAGTACAAACATATTTCCGAAAATGTGTTTTTTCCCTTTAAAAACACCATCATTGATACCAAAGAAATATACAGAAAACATATGTTGTAGTATACTTCAAATAAATACTTATTATAAGATTTTGATCGTTTAGAAAACTATACTAGTTCAACAAGATCGTTTAGAATAACACATCAGTCCAACAAACTAAAGAACACAAGAATTCTCAAGCAATGAATTCAGGTAATCTTCCGCTCATATGTTTGATTAAATATTCTTAAATACTTAATATGAATGGTTTTGGGATTTTATTAATTTCCTTCTGGGTTTAAATACCAACATGAGTCGGGAAGCTCAGGATTTATGTTGACAGTAGCTACCATGCTAATTTTTTGAAGGTTGCGTTTTATGTTTGGGAGATTCTACAGTTCCGTTACAGAATCATTCCGTCCAACGGTTACATGATGATCTAACGGTTACAAATCTCGATGAAATTGTTTCATAACGGAATTGTAGTATTTCCCTTTATGTTTATATGGTTTTATTTTGTATTTTAGGTTTGTCTTTGTTTTAGTTGGTGTCATCTTTAATGAATTTTACTTTGATCTAATAATTTGTACGCAAAAAGCATATATCTTTTCATGATTGATTGTTTCTTACCACGTATTTTTTATAATATTAATTACATAATCAACATTTCAATTTTCTAAACACGAAATCCACGAGGAAAANTCCGCCACCACTTATTACAGTCACAGTGGCCGTGGAGGCGGCAACAGCCGCGCTAGCCCCAATAAACAACGTCATGCCGCCGCCCCTCGCCGGCCTTTGACCTTTTTCCAGTTGGAATGGCGGCTGCAGAGGACGGTCGGCGGCAGTAGGCCCGGTAGCTGGCGGCCGCGTCTTTTTCCGACTGTTTTTGCACAAACAGCACAAATATGATTTCATGTTTTTATTTTAGGTGGTGTGTTATTAAGTTGTTGCTAGAACTTGTCTCTCTCTCTATATATATGTGTGTATTTAGATGCTTGGTATTTATTTATATATTTATATATGGAGTTAGACTTTAGGAATTAGGATGTATTTTTCAAGAAATTGGTGAGGAAATAAAATGGAAATTTTCATGGTGAGACGACATTGACTTGGTACAACATTCACTGACTTTGTCCTTTAATGTAAATTATCAAGCAGTACACTACGTTGTATGACTTTTCTGGGTATATTTAAGTTTATAATTAATGACCGAGCTAGTGTTCATTTACAGTTTAAGTAATTTAATTTGAACCTAAAATAATAGTAGTAGTTTTGTAATTTTTAAAATCAATTTCTTTTAATTTACTTTTGGCCCAAATTTGATGGGACATGTGCCAACAAAGTTTCAATTTCCTTAGATATTTGGTTTCTGGCTGAAATTATTCTCAAAATTGTCAATTTATAAAAACTATTAGACTACTATTTTCTATTAATAAATATGATAATAAATTCAATTTTAACTAATTTTTTGGTTCTTGCCTTTCATGTGTCGTGTCGTGTCGCGTCTATTAATTTATTTGTGTCTCTATAATCGTATGTGTTTTTTAATTAATCATGTCGTGTTCGTATTTCGTGTAGTGCGCACCATTGTCACTTCTAATTTCAAGTTCAGAAAAAAAAAATCAGTAACCCCTAGCTACCACATATGCACACACATAAATCAATATATATTAGTGCAATATAATATTAAAAATAAAATTATACACAATAAATTTAAATTGCATCATATAACCTTATGACTGGTAATATCTATATATATATAATTACTAGCTAATAACATTTAATAAAACCTATTTAATTTTACCTATGTGGCAATTTAACAATTTTCCCTCCAAAAACCGTTACATTTTGATGTATTTAATCTTTCATTTAATCATTAAATAATTAATACTCATCACTTCAAAATTACAAAAATCATTTTAAACTTTTGATTAATGACAGTTGACCATATAGTGTGTTGACCGTATAATGTGATTAGATGTTATTATTGTTGTTACATTTAATTTTTTTTAAATAAAAAATATATTTGAAATTCCTAAATAAATAATAAATAATTCACAAATAAAAGACGTACCAAAATATACATTACATCCCAGATAAACGCAATTTAAAAAAAAATATTACAACTCTTTTAATTGTAAATTTGGTCTGCAAAAAAATGAAAGAAAAATAATTAATCATTTATGCATACAGACTCACAATAATTTATTTATATCTGTGCAAATGCACAGGTCGAATACTAGTATATATTTAGCACCCTAGCTATACCTCTCAGCTCCCCTCAATTTATTCAGATTTATTTACCCCTAACAAATTAGAAAAAACAAATTTAAATGAATGGTTATGTAATTCAAATTGAAGTGGTATTTGTTACTCACAAGTATTGAAAGAAAAAAAAAATGGTAGG